TACGGTTTTAAGATAATGCTAGGAGTGGAAAACAGAAATGAAAAGAGTAAAAGAGGGTCGAGCGCGCAATATATCAGAGGAGGGTTGGCAAGAAGACGGAGCCTGCGTGGAGGAACTACTGAGCTACGTCCTCCTCGTTTCTTTTCACCCTACAGCCAAGAAAAATCCCGAATAATCCGCCTGCAAGGATTATCCTGCCTCCCGACGATCTTCCTTTGTTTTATATAACTCGTCGGATACCGTGACCCCTGCGCGTCGCGGCGGTTTCGGTTCAGTTCAACCCCCGGAACGAAATTTTGGAGATACTGGGTTAATTATGGAAAAAATAGTGCCGAACATTCATTTCATGTACATGTTCAATGAACTTTTGCATGTTCATATTATTACTGCTTCTGTTTATTTTTCGAGATATTTGCAAAAACAATGTTTGGTATAGAATCATTCGCATTTACTGTCATTTATGTAAGTAAATTTTTAGAGTAATGCTTCTTCTCACAGGTGATAATTCTAATTGCTGAAACTCGTATAAATTTCTAAGATACATCTAACCTGAATTAAAAGAAACATAGTAAAGACATTATCAAATATATTTTTGTCAATATCATCAAAACTGAAACCGAAAAATTGTTCAGTGCCATCCCCACAACATATTTCAATTTCATTTCTATATAATTTAATGGATGTGTTCATAGATATACACAGCAAATAAATACCCTTAACCCTTCTTAAGACTCATAATACAAATTTTTAGGTAGAAGTGAACAATTATTTTACTACTCCCAATATGTACATCTTCGAAATAAATTTCCATATGCAACGAATATAAAATTTGTTTGTTTATTCCCGAGTCATTGATAGTACAATTTGTTAGACGAACTCAGTCGCAAAGAAAATTGTCCGTCAAAGGGTTAATATGTATACAATAAATAGCAAAAATCAAATCGCAACAATTTTGTACAATCCTACTATTCATGTCTTGCTTAATGCGAACGCAACATAATATAATGCGCTATAAATTGAGAGTCCTAGATTAAATGCTCCGAACATGTCTATTAATAATGAAGCACCTATATATCACGGTTACCGCATACACATATCGAGTTTAAGAACATTCAAAGGCTTCCGCGAGACGCGCGAGGAAAATTTGCGCATGGGAACTCAAAGGCACAGAACGCATCTTCGGTGCAACATAAACTCGTGCTCGTGCATCAAGATCCGGCGTTACATAAAAGGTTCAAAGCGAGAGGTGGAACAGCACTGTCTGAACTAACGGATTTATGCATGGAAAATAATCGCCTTGTTTTAAAGTACAATAAATTTATTTAAGCGACGTTAATGAATGGCGAAGTGCTTAATGGTCGAGGGAACGGCGCCGGACAATAATGACGTAACCGTAATCGTGGCGGCGATCGTAAACGAAAAACTATGAAAATTGCTCCGGGAATCGTTCGCCGAGTTATTGCGTTAGGACGGATTAAAAACCGCCTATTTGTTGAGATTTTTAACCCTTTGCACTCGAGAGGCGACTCTCGTTCACCACCTGATTCGATATAGTAAAATTATAAAGTCTTATGACGAATATTAAGCTTTGTACACCGGTGCGTGAAATATTGAAATAAAACAGCTTGCTTAGTTAATGTGTGTAAAATGTTCTCATTAGTTAGATTCAAATATCTCATCCATATCTCATAAGAAAAGTAAATTTTGAGTATTTCTAGTGAAAAACTCTTCAAGTGTAAAAGGTTTACAAACTGATTCACACCATGTTTATTCACGCGTGGTGCATACATAACTCGCATTTAAAAAATCTACTTTGTTGCACGGAGTAGATGGAAAATCATAATATACGATTATTTTACGTTACTTCCAGCAAATTACAAAAAAGGAAGGTGGCCGGGGAATCGAAAGTTTTTTAACATTACGGTGTTCATCCTGTTAATTGTACAAAGATTTCATTCCGACTTCGATGGTTCGGTGCCACTGTTCCATTCGACGCGTGATCATATTCTGCGCGATAAATGCTAAGGATGCGATAAACCGAGCGTGTCACTGTAAATTAGTCACGCGATCCTTGCAAGAATCCGGGTTGTAACATCTAACAACATTGAATGTAGACACTAGCGTTCCTGTTTGAGAGCGAACAGGTGTCTAATGGTAGGACGAGTATCGCGAAACTTGACGCAAAGGGATGATTCTGCGCTCCAAAGCGAATGGCAATGATAACACATATTAAGTTGTTGCAGGGAAAAAGGAAATTATTTTAAAAAATATTAAAGCGTGAACAGCAAGTAGTGAATACAAAACAAGAAGAAATTTATAAAACAATTTTTTTACAATTGATTTGTCTTTCAGTTCATACTTTAATCATTCTAGATTTATTATAGCCAGTGACATGGTGGAAACTTTTTAACTTTTTATTTCTAGAAGATAACACCGCCGGCAGCAATGAAATGAAAATATTTAAGTAGCATTAATAAATAATAAAAGCACATGATATTGTGTATCACACAAAAAGCTGAATGTAAAGTATCTAAACCAAATGCTTCAATATCTCTCAATGTTAATACTGTTATAGCGTTGAGCATTCTCTTAAAAAAGGCCATTTATACATAATCAGCAAACAATACCGAAAAAATATTCATTCCCAAATCAAATATAAGAAACAATTAAACAATCCGAACACGGATATTCTATATTTTCTAACTTTCTTAGCAGTTAGAAGTCTAAGTCCCAATTTTAATCTGAAATCATCTAGGAAATTACGTTTCAACATTTTGATGCGAACAACGACAGTGATAGACCTGTGCCCCAGTTTCCAGAAGTTGAGTAGCATTCAATGTACATAACAATTAAACTGAAAGTTTCTCCCGTTGATTGCTTCCGTTTCGTGCAGGAAAATTTTTTGTTTCGGATGACCCGCTTAAAGGGCTCGTTTAGGACAAGGGACCCCTCGTGTTCTTTCTGCTCCATTCTGAAGCCGACACTCCCTTTATCGATCCCACTCCAGCCTCTCCCTCACTCCGCGATCCTTCCATCCTTCCACGTTCTCTCTTTTTTCCTTTTCTTCCTCCCCTTAGCCTCAACCTCCACCCTTTTCCCCTCCATCTCTGTCTCTCCCACTGTCCCACGGTCCGCCTCACCCTGTCATCCTTCTCCGTCTCTCTTCACCACCTAGTTACCCCGGGGAAAACCTAGAACCGGTTCCGGATGGATCCGGCACCCTCCTCCTTCGCAGACGCCACCACCATCGCACCCACTGCCACTCGCCTCTATAAACCCGACCAACCAGGAAGCACGTATCTGCCCTTTCGAATTATCCGGCTGGCTTGCCGCCCTTTGTTGCACACGGAATTTCGTTTAATTAAAATGAGACTGTAGAGACTACGGAGCCCGACTGGCTCTTTCTCTTCAAGACGCTGACTGTTCACCGGGAGCGTCTTCGATTGTCAGCGAGGAAGGCCTGACAGCTAAACGTCCCTGAGAATTCTCATTTCTCCTCGCGTTTCGCGTTCACGTTCGCACGGAAAAAAATATCGAGAGGCTCCTCGGGAACGATCGCTTTGTAATGCTGCACATCATACTATCGAGTTCGACGGCCGTTTCAAGTTTGTCGGGTTATGGACTGCGAATTTTTCATTTTCGGTGACGGTTTCGTTGAAACAGCGAGGATTTTATCGCGATAATAAAGTTTATTGGTATACTCGGTGGGAATGATGAATGTTTAATTCGAATTGTTGTTATTTGAAATCAGTATTTGTTAACATGATTTTGTTTGGTTTATTTGGAGACTAGATGATCAAATGAATGAAGCGGTTAGCTTTAATTCTGGAGAATTTATTTTTAATACAAAGAACAACGTGAAGAACGAAGTTGTTTAATATTTTGTCTCCGTTAATAATTCTTACGATTTTTTAAAAAAGATTTTGAATATTTTCAAACTAATTTAATCAAGAATCTTATTTCTGGGTACTAGCAGCCATGATCATTGTAATTTCTCATCAGTAATCCCTGATACGAACTTAATATTATGATACCTCATAATTGTTTTTACTCGTCGACTTAGATCACCGATATTCAATGTATCTTCATTGATGTTATCAATGTTATATTCATCAATTATTCCTTAATTTAATACAGATGAATATTTAACTGCTAAGAAATATTAATACAACCGATTCTGTACTACTGAAAAATATATGTGATCATTATTATAACAAACAACCGTAGTGAAACATTTATGGCATATCAAACCTGAAAGTAACAAAATTATAGAAGAACCAGTCGTTATAAATATTTCAATAATCAATTATTATTACAAATATCCGTAAAAAAAGATGCAAATTCATAAGCATATTTCATTGTATTAAAAAAAAATGAATAAAGCATGATATAAAACAAAGATTATCATTAAATGGTAATGCTTTATTTGAATATTAACACAAAAGAAGGTGTGTGATGTCGATACAAACACCCGAGGATGCACAAGGAAACGGTATTACATTTAAATAAATCTGCATCAAGCTTCTGAATATTCTGAACAGGTAAGCCTTATACAACAAAAGATATGTATGAAAATATTCAGGTACGAGATGAATTTTCATATGGTTTCACGTTTATTGGAACGTTGGCGAGTACAGCACCGTTAAGCGAGAGGAAGGTAATCAGCCCGTAGGTGGTGTGGTTGCTGATGAATGCATAAAATCGAATTAACGTCGTTGATACCGCCGGCATGGATTACGCGATGACCGACGTACAGGAATGGAAAAATAATCGCGCAATCAACGTCGTGCCCTTTTCCCTCCCTGTTTTGTTGGCCGTAGTGAGAATTCTGGTGAGACTACGCGGAAATTAGCTTCGATTGCGATCTTGGGAGGTGTAAACCGGCAAAATGGCGGTGCACGAAGAGGGAAATACATTGTGGGGGGCGGGGCCAAGCCACTGGAAAGGGCAGACCGGTATTAATCACGCTATCGAAACGAGAGATCAACTAATTAACACCGAGTTAATCGTTTGCCGCGCTGACTAGGCCTGCCGTCGGCGGATCGTTGCCATTCGCGACGACACGATGCTTTTTTACACGTGGTTCAACGGGGTCATCCGCAGTGCATAAAAAATCGGTCGGTTAGCGTTGAAACTGCTCGAAATAACAGCAAAACATAACCTATACCGTATCTCTGATTTCAAAATATTCCTAACAGATCATCAACGAGAAATAAAAATTCAATCAATACAACGATCACTAATTTCTCCGTGGACGACACGAGGCGACGCGAACCGAGGCACAGCAAGCATAAAGTCTCCGCGCGTCATGGAGAAATGAACGATACAACGGTGGCGCGGCGATGTTCGGCTCGAGGGAGGAGTGAAATCGCGACCGATCGCGCAACAATGGAGATCACACTGTCCGAGGCATCTCCGGCGGGAACCCTTGCGGACATCCGAATCCGCCATCTCCGAATCCGTCCAGCCACTCATCCGTCGAGACCGGCGGGGACCGAGCGAGAAGGGAAAAAAAGAGAGCCAAACCGACTGCCATCCTTCACTGTCATGGCCAGTAACACCGTTACGTAGCCATTAAGGCGCGTTCACACTTCACCGTACCCGTGAAACGATTCCGGCCGGGAAATCTGTGCAGGTACCGTCGGCCCTCTATACAAATTGATCCATTGCGCCATGTATATGCACACTCTGCGTTCTCACTGTCGAACAGGCACAGAGGACTCGTCTGACAGCGTGTCGAGGTACGACAAGTGACGATTCGAGTGTCCCCCGATAGCGACAGTATCCTGAGGAGCAAGGCGCTAGACGATAATGACGACGGCGGCGGCGAGAACGACGGGAACGGCAAGCGGAACAGCGTGAGCTGGAGAGGAAAGACACAGGGAGAGGATTGCAAGGCGTCGCGGCGCTGGTCGGCACTAGACTTGGCGTCGGTTCGTTCGTTAGCTGGACC